GATGATATGATCTACAACAGTATTAAAGCGACGTTCCACTTCTGAACAATAGAAATAATTTCAACAGAATATCTAAGTGCGGGAAATGTACAAAAACGAGTCAGTTTCTGAAGCACGTCTCTGATATATGTTGCGGAGACTGTCACTGCGGTATACACACGGCAACACATCAAGTTATACAACACCAGTATAAACAGACCTTCGAATGCGTGAAAAGGTTATTCGAAGAGGGGTCATAGTTAACTGGATTTTCATAGTTCGATATACGTGTGTGTAGTAGGTATGTGAAATATTTTCAACTGCACAGCGAGACAGCTTCACAGTTTGATTGTAGTTCTATGAAACAATGCCGACGTTATGTCCTGATGTTCTAGGAATTTTAAGTGCAGAGGCATTCGTGGCTTATGATGACAGGTTGATGAATTTCCGTGTATTCTACTTTTACATTCGGAATTTATGTAGTTGTAACAAAGTCAAAGTCAAAGCATTTATTTCAATTAAACCATAAGTACTTTTCAAACGTCAACAAATATCTACAAAATAAATAATAGTCTGTCATTCAGTCCGTCAGCGAAGCTAGGTGAAGCTAGGTGCTCATTCCAAAATGTAGATTCGAATGGAGAAGAACGAGCAAGAAACTCCATTCGTTACTCTTTTTTAACTCGACATAGAACAAGCAATATGAGGTATCAAAAGCATCGGTTTCTAATATATATGTAAAGAAATAACATAGATTTCTTAATCTAACAGATGACGTTTATATATCATCTGTCATCGGTATTTTAAATAAATTAACCTAGAAGTTACACCGCTCACGTAATGGTTGAAAAAAACAATAACTTTAATATTAATTTCATTATTTAAGTATTGTAATTGCGATTAGGAACTGGCATTGTTATTATTAACATTAAATTAAATTTCTTACAGGTTTGTAATAGTTTGTAACTTAATAAGTAATAACACAAATTTGTTAAATTTTCATCAATACATAGTATAAAACAAAGTCGCTTTCGCTGTATGTCCGTATGTATGCTTAGATCTTTAAAACTACGCAACGGATTTTGATGCGGTTTTTTTTAATAGATAGAGTGATTCTTAAGGAAGGTTTGTATGTATATACATATTGCACCCGTGCGAAGCCGGGGCGGGTCGCTAGTATTTTATCAACAATAAATCTTTTCTTACAGAGAAACTTAATTGTGTTTAACTGACTGTGTCGTCCTAATCCAGAAACATCTTATGTATATTGATATAGATAAGAGTACAATAATATTGAACCTAAATGGCTAATTTTGGTCTTAAATATATAAATAAAAATGAATTTCCTTTCGTTAGTCTAGTTAACCTGTTGAAATATCATCTCTTAAATTTGTCATATAAAAATAGTCTCTAAACATCGGAAATAAGGTCTATAATGTAGTTAGTGGAGAGCGGTCACCGGTGACCGCTTGGGGATAAATGGGAACTTGAGAAGGGTTGGATCGAAATGGCTTTTGGTCTTAAACTGTACGTGAAACTGCAGGAAAGGTTTAAAGACGAGAAAAAAATGTTCGAGGCAATACGAAGTTTCCCAGGTCAGATAATAATAAATATATATTAGCTTCCTTTACATCAAAAGTGTTGTCTTAAACAAACGATCCTCAAACTCATGTGGGAGAGCCATGCTTCGGCACGAACGGGCCGCCTCGACCGGAGTGATACCACGGCCTCACAGAAAACCGACGTGAAGCAACGCTTGCGTTGTGTTTAGTCATGTGAGTGAGGCCCAATTACCCTCCCCTTCCCCAATCTCCCCAATCCCTGAATCCCCAACGATCCTCAGACTCCTAATCCCCAAAAGGCTGGTAACGCACTTGTAACGCCTCTGGCGTTCCAGGTGTCCATGGGCGGCGCCGATTGCTTACCATCAGGTGATCCGTCTGTTCGTTTACCGGTTTATGCCATAAAATAAATAAATAAATAAATAAAATACAATATTATCTTTGAAAAATAACGAAGAGACAGAAAGGAAGAAACTCATTGAACTAAACAACACGAATTTAGTATAAACACATTAGGTACACGTCCTTGTACATCTTGTTCTTTGAAGAACAAACAAAATTGTGTCAATATACTTAAGAATCGTAAAACACAATGCCAATGCAAGTTATATCTATACTTCTATACTGATATTATAAAGAGGAAAGATTTGTAACTAACTATACTGATATTATAAAGAGGAAAGATTTGTAACTATTTTTGTATGTTTGTAATGAATAGGTACAAAAAGTACTAGGCTGATTTAAAAAATTCTTTCACCAATAGAATGCTACATTCTTCCAATTTCACATCGGCTACATTTCATTTTGAAAAAAATTAGGGATCCTTGGTAAAATTTGAACAATGTAACCGAAAGTGTAGAAAAATGAGTCTTAAAATGTCTTTCGTCGAATGCGCTGCCCAAACTATTAGCAATAGAACAAAATAATGTACAACAATATTGAAGAACATCATAATGTCTACAAAAAACTCCGCGGTAGCATATGTCCAACTATTGTAGTTTCAAATTTCCAAAAATAAATAATTGTCTACCCCGTGCGAAGCCGGGACGGGCTGCTAGTTAGTTATATAGGAGCTTGTAGTGAAAACTTAATTTTATTCTTTTTTCAGGGACGTTGAACAAATAAATTCAGACTGGAATTGGTTCAGGAAATCTGCTTGGAAGATAGAATATAATTTTAGCGAGCACTAGAAGTTAAATAGTTTTATTATATAAAACTTTTGTTCGTAACGATTTTATACGAAGTACTTTTGAAAGTTGTTAATTTAACAATCCTGTTTGCAAACGCCT